TACTTGCTGCTGAGCCCACAAGCTTGAACCCTGCTGAAGGACCTCTGGGGTCATCTGCCTCAAGCATCTACCTCTCTAGCCCCTTCTCTTTTGTGTCTGTGTCACCAGCACTTGGATACAGTACTCCATTGTTCTTGTTATCAGCTGTACACGGTTAATAAGTCGATTGTTTTAATTTCCACATCATTGGTTTTATTATTTGCTTACGCGTGTGGATAAGCCAGCTTCGTCAGGAGCAGTTCGCATTCAGCCATCAAGTATTTTTCCAAGCTATATACTGCTATTGTAAGGAAACAGCTTCATTTAAAACATTCTACTTCTTAGGTTTCGATTTTAACACAGGAGTCATTCACATATCTGTAAAACTGACCAGTGCTGTCACTTTGATTGAGCCAAGAGCTGTTATTGCGCATTTGCAATTTAGTGTATTTTCTTTTTAAAACACTAGTGCCTGTTTTATCCTTAGGCAACACTGAACATGAATGGTTTTAGAGCAATACCTTTTCTAAATGTTTGCTTTTGAATACAGAATGCAATAGTCCAAAAGCTCCTGATTATCATTTCTGTTTATTTCTGCACAGAGCCCTTTCTTATACAGTCTATTTGTGCCTGAGACACTAAATCTTGTTATGGTTCCCTCTTGTGGTGGGGATGGTTAAAACAAGCTGTGTGCTGTATGTATATTCTTTTCCATCCAGGGAAATATGGTGAATGTCACACGTGCAATGTTTCCTGTAAGACCTGTTTTGGCCCACAGGCACTGGATTGTTCTTCTTGTTTTAAAGGTAATATTTACTGCTTTTAGCTTTTCAGAGTAAACTATCTTAATCGCAATGTTAATTCTTGATGCCAATCGTGCGAGTGTGGATGTGTGTGTATTTGTGCTTCACAGGATATTTCCTGGATCAGGACAGTTCCTGCGTAGAGCAGTGTCCACCTGGCTCATATGCGAACTCTGCCACTCAGCTGTGTGAGGACTGCTCTCCCAGCTGTGAGGCCTGTGTGGACACCAGTGATAACTGCATCAGCTGTTCCAAAGGCACCGATAAACTTTTTCTCCACCAAGGCCGGTGCTGGTCCAATTGCCCAGAGTAAGCAGTTTGATAAGCGGTGAAACAAACACGGAGCTATTCAATGATGACACGATCTTCTTCATGCTTCGCTTCTCTTTTGTTTTCTCCCAACCGTATTGGGGTTATTTTTGTTTTGTTTTTCTTTAGAGGTTTCTTTGAGACAGCAGAGGGGTCGTGTGAAGCCTGTGATAGCTCCTGTCTCACCTGTGATGAGATCAAATCCCAGTGTCTGTCCTGTGCTGACGGCTACTACCTGGAGAGTGGCATGTGTAGACTCAACTGTTCGCTGGGAATGTATCCTGCAGATGATGGTACCTGCAGACGATGTCCTCCCCACTGTGAAGTTTGCTCAGATGACAGGACCTGCTTCCGTGAGTTATTAGCACAGTCAGCAGATTTAAAAGATATAATGTTCGATACGGGTGAGAGATTTGTGTTACAAATTTTTCACCCCTCCAGGGTGCAGTTTCCTCTACTTGATGCTGAACGGTGAGTGTAAGGCTAGTTGTCCTGTGGGCTATTATGAGGACATGGAGGAGGGCCGCTGCGGTCAGTGCCACCCTACGTGTGGCAGCTGTTCAGGGCCTTCAGCAGATGATTGTGAGACCTGCTCAACCTACAGCCCCAAGCTCTATAAAGGTGTATGCTCAAAGGACTGCCCCGCTGGTACTTACTATGAGACTGCAGCTATGGAGTGTCAAGGTGAGCACCTGGATTCACAGATTTGATTTGGTTTTAAACACCAAATATGTGGAGTTTTCTTGTTACGGCTTCACCGTTCTCCAGCGAGAATTCTTTCTAGTTTTCATGATGCTACTACGTAGGTTCAAAGACCATAAATTCAGATGTCAAAATGATTAAAATACATTTTTAATCATTTAATCATTTTAATATTTATTCAATTTTGATGAAATTGAAATTTTAGAAATTGAAACTGTAGCAACTATGAAATGCAGCTGTCAAATTTCATTTCATTTAAATCCAATGATATTACCTCTGTTCGAGTTTTGGATTTGACCTTCCTAGTAGCAGGAATTCTGCAGTGTTGCAAAGTTATTTGTTTTTATCCCTCAGCTGTAAAAGGCTGATGGGGTGTGGTTGTCACCTTGCGGAGCGGGTGGCTGGCATGAACACTCAAGTTTATGAATGTGATAACTCGAGAAGGAAACCACCTAAGACTTTTTTTAAATTGATAAAATTATTAATTATTTAATTATTATTATTATTTAATTAATTAAAAGCAATTAATTAAAAGCAAAGCAACATAGGATTTTCACATTTATACCATAGGTGTATCTACTAGGAGCCTGAGGGGTACTACTGGCACCACCAGAACTTTTAAGATAATGTTAAGATAACCCCACAAGTAATATTCTCTAATGTTTTTTCACAATGTGTTGCTGAAAGTACTTTGACTCACAGGACTTGCATCTGTGTAATATAGAGTTGGGATATCCCTTTGAATAAGTAGTTGGATAAATTAACATGTAGATGTGTTGCAATAATCATGCATAATACTCTGGGTAATTGATCAAACTGACCCTTTCCATGTCATAGTTTTTAGGGAATTGATGTAAAAGAAGCCCAGAGTTGTTATTATTGTATTTTCTGATTCATTTTTATTTGATTCTTTGATTTCAGAGTTTCATTTAGTTTCCAGAGTGGGTTTGCTATTTTCAGTTTTGGTTTTACTGTTTGAAAATGTTGCCTTTTAGTTTAGTTTGTATTAGTTTTAGTGTTTATTTCATGTGCTGGAGGCAATGTTTCGGAAAAAATCTAGCACAGACTTTTTAAAAGCAGTTTACTCCCAGTCCTGCAGTATTATAGTATCTATACTATACTGTAGTGTTTATACAGTCGTACCTATACTACTGTATAAATTAGATCATAATGTAAAATAGATCAGCTTGCAGCACCACATTCATTTCAGCGGAACTGCTGATTTTGTTTCACTATACAGGTCCTGTTCTCACCACTTGAATTTGTATATCAGCAATCGGTTCTGGATCTCCTCCACAACGTTAGAAGTGTGACCCTTCAACTTGTCTTTCATTTTGGGGAAGAGGATAAACTCACCAGGAGCCAAATATGCCAGAGTTGGGCCAGTGGTGACAACACCACGTAGCACAGTGGAGATGCTAAAGTTTCTCTCCCTTAGACAGCTCAGCGTAATATAGTAAAGCTCACCACAGAGAATCAGACAAATTTATGGTGCAAGCTCTGTAAAAGTATAATAAAAACCCCCAAAATGCACATGTGCCGCCTTGAGGTTTGAACACTGTGGACTCCACACACACTAATGTCCACAGACATGAAAGTTAGGTTAGCTAGACTCAGAAAGTTAAATGTTTGCTCTGTGCTTGAGGTCCATGGAGTGGTTAGAATGGCACTCACACAGAACAGTCTATAAAGCGTGCACTAGAAGTCCACACCAAGTACACAAAGAAAAAACCTTGAAAGCGAGATCATCCAATTTTTTCCTCACACCTTCTATTAGACTTTCTTTTCCATACTAATTACCTTGAATAATGTTAAAGCTTGAATAAGCGTTAAAAATAAAATAAAACAGAAAATGTGTAACAAAGGGAGGTTAATGCAGTGGCCAAAAGCAATTACTAAACTCACAACTGAGTGATAATGAAATAAGCTATTTGCTTAAAATGAAATCCATTCACCTCTAAAACATGATTATTGTACCCTCTTGTGTAAATGTGGTAATGTGACATGAAGGTGTTGCAATCTGCTTTGCTTGGTTGTATTTAGAGTGCCACCAGACTTGCCTTAGCTGCACCGGGCCAGACGCCAACGAGTGCACCCAGTGCGAGAGAGGACTCGTGTTGGATCCAAACACGTTACTGTGTGGTGTGACGGGTGATACGGCCTGCCCACCGGGGACCTACCTACACAACGACCAGTTCACCTGCAAGGGTTGCCACCGACACTGTCTTTCGTGTGAGGGGCCAGGCAACGATGAATGCCAGACCTGTGCTGTCCCCAGATATCTTTACAGTGAGCATTTTCAACAGGTTTATGTGCAGACACAGAGGTGATTTGTGGTATAAGTGAAAATCAGCACAAAACTGATTGTTTTAAAGTTGATTTATCATGCAAAGACAAAACAAATCTGAATCATTTATCTTTTAACTGTTAGCTCTACAGGTGCTTGAAAAAGCCTTTTCTCATTTTAATCACTAATGAAATTTTTGGCCCGAGTTATAGACTTTGCTTTTGCATTTAGTGCTCTCACAGCTGGCTTCATAATAATGGCTTTTGTAAGACTATTTGACAATTTCAGGTTAAACAGATTTATGCAGTTGTACTGGTTGCTTCTCTGAAGTGAGTACGCCACCAAGTTAAGGTGCTAACTCTGTTGCTGTATGCTTTTTTTCCAGACAGCACATGTGTTAATACGTGTCCTGATGGCACGTATACCACAAGGCAGGAAGCTGATGGAAAGATGTTGGGACTCTGTTTGCCTTGTGACCACGTGTGTTCCTCTTGCACTAGTGCATCACCAAGAGATTGTCTTACGTGTTCTCCAGGATATCTGCGGCTCCTTCAGCTCTGTGTCACCCATTGTCCCACTGGGTAGAAAGCTCTGTTACTATTTGTGAAATGTTTACCTCAAGTAGACAAACAATTTCTGCAAACAGACCTTTATGCTTCAGTGACCCCAAACTAGAGATAATACAGTATTTGTTTTGGAAGTGAACCAAAGTTTCTTAGGAAGAAAGGGTGTAACGTGGTTTCTCCTTCTTCAGCAGCAAAGTAACTTTTTCTTAAAGCTTTTTTTTTTATCAGTTACATATTTGACAAACATGAAGGAAATATTTTAACCCATTTTTTTATGCATTTCTTCAGGTATTACAGGGAGGGCTCCCAGTGTCATAAATGTCACCAGTCCTGTGAGCTGTGTACAGGACCGGGGCCCGAGTCTTGCAGGGCATGTTCCCCTCCTCTGCTGGAGCTGAAAGGCACCAAGCTGTGTGTCGAGCGCTGCCCACACCGCTTCTATCAGTCTAACGACATCTGCAAAAAATGTCATATCAGTTGTCAGACATGCATAGGTAGGTAGAGATGAAATGTCAAACCAGTGAGTCAACAGAAACCCATTTTTAAGCATTCAGGCATGTTTTTTACATTTTATTTATTTTACTGTGTTACATACAGCTTTTTGTTCTAATCATTTCATTTAATTTCAGTTCAGCAAACAGAAAAATAAAATTCCTTCTGAAATGTAACACTGATGTACAGTGGGGCAAAAACGTATTTAGTCAGCCACCGATTGTGCAAGTTCCCCCACCTAAAATGATGACAGAGGTCAGTAATTTGCACCAGAGGTACACTTCAACTGTGAGAGACAGAATGTGAAAAAAAAATTCCATGAATCCACATGGTAGGATTTGTAAAGAATTTATTCGTAAATCAGGGTGGAAAATAAGTATTTGGTCAATAACAAAAATACAACTCAATACTTTGTAACATAACCTTTGTTGGCAATAACAGAGGTCAAACGTTTACTATAGGTCTTTACCAGGTTTGCACACACAGTAGCTGGTATTTTGGCCCATTCCTCCATGCAGATCTTCTCGAGAGCAGTGATGTTTTGGGGCTGTCGCCGAGCAACACGGACTTTCAACTCCCGCCACAGATTTTCTATGGGGTTGAGGTCTGGAGACTGGCTAGGCCACTCCAGGACTTTCAAATGCTTCTTACGGAGCCACTCCTTTGTTGCCCGGGCGGTGTGTTTTGGATCATTGTCATGTTGGAAGACCCAGCCTCGTTTCATCTTCAAAGTTCTCACTGATGGAAGGAGGTTTTGGCTCAAAATCTCACGATACATGGCCCCATTCATTCTGTCCTTAACACGGATCAGTCGTCCTGTCCCCTTGGCAGAAAAACAGCCCCATAGCATGATGTTTCCACCCCCATGCTTCACAGTAGGTATGGTGTTCTTGGGATGCAACTCAGTATTCTTCTTCCTCCAAACACGACGAGTTGAGTTTATACCAAAAAGTTCTACTTTGGTTTCATCTGACCACATGACATTCTCCCAATCCTCTGCTGTATCATCCATGTGCTCTCTGGCAAACTTCAGACGGGCCTGGACATGCACTGGCTTCAGCAGCGGAACACGTCTGGCACTGCGGGATTTGATTCCCTGCCGTTGTAGTGTGTTACTGATGGTGACCTTTGTTACTTTGGTCCCAGCTCTCTGCAGGTCATTCACCAGGTCCCCCCGTGTGGTTCTGGGATCTTTGCTCACCGTTCTCATGATCATTTTGACCCCACGGGATGAGATCTTGCGTGGAGCCCCAGATCGAGGGAGATTATCAGTGGTCTTGTATGTCTTCCATTTTCTGATGATTGCTCCCACAGTTGATTTTTTCACACCAAGCTGCTTGCCTATTGTAGATTCACTCTTCCCAGTCTGGTGCAGGTCTACAATACTTTTCCTGGTGTCCTTCAAAAGCTCTTTGGTCTTGGCCATGGCGGAGTTTGGAGTCTGACTGTTTGAGGCTGTGGACAGGTGTCTTTTATACAGATGATGAGTTCAAACAGGTGCCATTCATACAGGTAACGAGTGGGGGACAGAAAAGCTTCTTACAGAAGACGTTACAGGTCTGTGAGAGCCAGAGATTTTCCTTGTTTGAGGTGACCAAATACTTATTTTCCACCCTGATTTACGAATAAATTCTTTACAAATCCTACCATGTGGATTCATGGATTTTTTTTTTCACATTCTGTCTCTCACAGTTGAAGTGTACCTCTGGTGCAAATTACTGACCTCTGTCATCATTTTAAGTGGGGGAACTTGCACAATCGGTGGCTGACTAAATACTTTTTTGCCCCACTGCAACTATTTAGACCATTTGCTTTCATTTTAACTCAGGAGTCTCTCTTTCTCTTAATCATCTTTGAGATGTTTCTGTACCTTGATTGGCACATGAAAACAAAATCAAAGGGGAAGCAAAAGGAACTAAAAAGCCCTCCCTAAAGTGCTTGTAGACATGACTGTGTGGAGGCACAGATCCATATTCTTACATTGAGCACATTTGGAGCAACAAGCACTCTTCCTGTAGACAAACGATTCCCAAACTGAGGAATCATGAGAGCAAGATTGTGGTACTAAAGGTGGTTAGGAACCTGGTGACCTCCAGAGAACCTGTGGTGACATGGGACAAATAGAATATGCATTATAGCAGCACTCCAGTGATCTGGGTACAGTATCTAGCAGCACAGCTTCATTCAGTAGTATTAAATGGGGGGGGGGGGGGGGAAACCCTCAATTGTTACTTTATTTTTTATTTTGTAGACTGACTGTTGACTGTAAATGGTTTTCGGATACTAAATGGTGGTATGCTGGGTAAGACTGTTACCTCACAGGGTCCTGGATTTGAATCCAGTCTAGAGTCCTTCTATATGTGGATGTCTGCATGGGTCTCTCCAGTTACTCTGGCTTGTTCTCACAGTGTGATGAACTGGGTTGCCACCACCACCACCTTTGACCCTGAACTGGGGCTTGAATAATTTCTGACTGTACTTTATATTTCCAAACTGTCAATATCGTGGATTCACTTTCTCATTAGGTATCTGCTCAGTGCCTGTATGTGTGTTTGCAGATGCCTCTCCTCAGGGCTGCTTGACTTGTGACTGGGGCAGCATGCTACAGGACAAAGTGTGCTATCCACGCTGTAAGGAGGGACTGTACTTTTCTGAAGAGGTGGGTTATGATTAGGGCTGTTCGATATAACGATATATATTGGATGACGATATAAAAACGTCTATCGTTTCATTTTATGCTATTGTTTGTTTCGTGGTGTAGCAAAATAAACTTTACGGCAATATTTTTCATCGTTTTGATGGTCACTGTAGTGGCTATATTAATTTCTTAAAGTTCTCTATTTCTCTTATATTCAATATAAGCACACTACAGATGGACAAGCGCCTGTTTTATGCTTTGTGGTTAGCAACAACAACGGTAACACCATCGCGTGTCCGCTTGTTTATGTTCCACATAAACCTTTCACAATAAAGCTCAAGATCCTGTTGAGACTTTTCAAAATAAATTGAATCACGTGAAAGAGCAGATTATTTACGGATGAGAAGTAAAAAAAAAGAGCCGCCAGGTGCTAAAAGACTCAAACGTTAGAACAGGCTTTCCCCGCAGCATGCCGTGTAATAAATACTCACAAAGAAAACTGCGGGCATTACAATTTATGTCTAAAAATGTATCGTTTCATGCATCGGTTAAAACACTCGACTCCAGCTACATGACGCCCAGCTGGAAACACTTCCCGCAAGTCGAGCTGCCCGAGATTCACAGAATTTACAGAAAATGTTACATTTTTGTGATTTATATCGTTATCAGGACGATAGATTTCTTATATCGGGATATGAGATTTTGGTCATATCGCACAGCCCTAGTTATGATTTAATGATCGTCTTGTCATTGTACTACTCTATGTATCATAACCATTGTATTTAAAGGCAAATGGCAGGTGTTCTCGCTTAAATTGATAGCATAGAATCTGCCTACAGACACTAATTGATCACACCACCGTAAATGAGTGAAATAATAAAAAACACTGATCCAAATTAATATTTTAGTTTGGCTGCCACATTTGTAAGCGAGCTACCACGGATGTTTGCTGTATGCCTACTAGCTTGTGACAGTACACAAAAGAAAGTACATAGACATCCTCTCAAAACCAGGATGTAGTAAAACAGGATTAACAGTGAGTAATACTGACATACTGAATTGTCAGGTTAGAACTGATAGTGGTGAAACAGGCTGGGCTATTTGCCTTCCATTCTCTTCAGAGCATAACATAACCTCTGGCATAACCTTTTATCTAATGTCTGTATCTAACTGTTCGATTGTAGGAAACATGCAAGCCTTGCAACAAGTCATGCAGGCATTGCTACGGCCCCGGACCTGACCACTGTCTGACATGTCACACTGACTCTGCTCTTCATGCTGTGGAGAACCGTTGTGCTCCATGCTGTCAGACTGGAGGCAATTACACCAATTGCTGTGTTTGTGACAGCCGCTCAGGTAGTGATGCTGTCTTTCATAAGCGAAAGAAAAGTGTATAGATGTGACAGTTTACTAAAGGAATTTTGTGTTTTTTCTAGCACTGTGTGTGGAGGCCCCCCAGCCTAAATCAGGAGACATCCAGGAAACCGATATGAGTTTGTCCTCCAGAACTCTGAAGCACACCTCGGCTGCCTTGCCTATTGCTCTGCTGCTTGCAATTGGTTTGACTCTGGCTGTATTTGTCTTGGTTAAAGCCCATGCTAGGAAGAGGCTTTGTTGGAAACGAAGCTATGAGAGATTGAGTGGTAGTGCGAACATTAACATGCCCCACGGCGTGCCCGAGCCAGATAGCGGAGATGAGGTAGATGTGGTGTACACCAGCAAAGGTGGATCCGTTTATCGGCGTTACAGCTTCATCCACGAGCAGGACACAGATGCAGACCAGGATGTGGATGAGAACATCCGTTTTAGTCATTCTTAGATGCATTTAGAGCTCAGAGTAATTGAGGAATGTTTCGGGATGCTCAGTATCAAGACGGACACGTAGTCAAAGTTAAAATAGTTAATGTGTAAAAGAGAATGCAGCAGTAATTTTCTTTGGTATGTTTCTTTTGACTTCAGGTGAATATTTATTCTATGAAGTGCCTGTATCTGTATAATGGAAATTCTTAGACACATGAAACAGTACAGATCATACACGTTTGTGTAAATGTATATGGGTTTTTTTCAACTTGATATTAAAGTCGTGCTTGTGAAACAGTGAATTGGTCATATACTGTAAGTTAAACTTGTTTGTTGGAAAGAGAAAATCTTTTCTAATTTACACCGTTTGAATGCCTTGAAACAACTGCCTTAAACCCTGTCATCCTGGTAATGTTATCAGTGGCATCAGTAGAGTTGAATACAATTCTGCAAACTGTAAAATATTCCAGGAATGTTTTTCAGTTTTCCACACCTTAGTTTTACATATTTCCTTATGTAATGAAACAGTGCAGCCTCTCACCATTTAGTCGAACTGTAACCTGCACTGAAGACAAAGTCACCTGTGCGGCAGTCCCTTTCAAACAAGGATATGTATTTTAAGAAGCGTTGTATGTTAAGAAATCTTTTTCTTACCTTGATGGTTTTGTTCTTTTCTTTTGCTCTTTGGAGATTTGGCTCTGAACAGTCATCGTCTGATCTGCAA